GTGATCTTCAACCAAACAAATGGATATGTAACTTTTAATCAACTTATCCCCAAGTCAGCCTTAGGGTGATCTTCAAACCAAACAAATGGATATCTAACTTTAATCAACTTATCCCCAAGTCAACCTGAGGGTGATCTTCAAACCAAACAAATGGATATGTAACTTTTAATCAACTTATCCCCAAGTCAGCCTTAGGGTGATCTTCAAACCAAACAAATGGATATGTAACTTTTAATCAACTTATCCCCAAGTCAACCTGAGGGTGATCTTCAACCAAACAAATGGATATCTAACTTTAATCAACTTATCCCCAAGTCAACCTGAGGGTGATCTTCAACCAAACAAATGGATATCTAACTTTAATCAACTTATCCCCAAGTCAACCTGAGGGTGATCTTCAAACCAAACAAATGGATATGTAACTTTTTCCTCCTTCATATAAATCTCTGGTGGTGTATCATTACATGTGTCCATGCTGTAGGCATGGCTACATTGGGTCATTGACCCAAACCCTAGCTACCAGAGTTAAAGAGCATGCACAAAATAACTTTGTAGTTTACAACCGTCTAAACAAAGACTGTAGCAAGAAGCCTAACATTGGACACTATAAAATAATAGTCTTGGCAACATATGAATGGACATTAATGGAAAAGGCAGTGCTGCTAATGGGAAACTTAAAACCAAAGCTGAACAATCAGATGTATCTCAACTGATTGTTAAACTCTGTGTGTTGTAAATACCTAATCTGCATGAATATCTTTGTATATTAATTTTATTAGAGCATAAAACATGCACCTTTCTTAACCTTATCTTTACGTTAGACTCCTGAGTAGTGAGTGTCTTTTAGTTGGGTGCAACATCTCAGGGGAAGTAATATGTAGTATATAATATTTGTTCTTGATCGTGATTAGTTTGATATACATAAACTAAATTAGACTGTTTATCATCTGGTAATATCTGTACAGGACACCAATGGGACCTCCAGGTGGCTCTGTCTGCCTTCTACCTCATGAAAGGTATCACTGGTGCTACAAAGATTTGTGGACCTTCGTCATCTTCAAGTGGCAGAATTAGTGAAGACCAGGAAAATGACGTGAGCAAACTGGATGGCCAGCTAAAGTCACTAACTGTTGCTGACCAATCATTTTCACTGAAGGAAAACAAGATCTTGGATGTAGAAGAACTTGAAAGTTAATACTCAGTTAATAAGTATACTTTAATCTAGTAGTTACAGTCCTGATATGACATGTTTATCTGTGTCTCTGTTAAGTAGTTACAGTCCTGATATGACATGTTTACCTGTATCACTGTTAAGTAGTTACAGTCCTGATATTACATGTTTACCTGTATCACCGTTAAGTGGTTATAGTCTTGGTGTGACAGTAATGACATGTTTACCTGTATCACTGTTAAGTGGTTATAGTCCTGGTGTGACAGTAATGACATGTTTACCTGTACCACTGTTAAGTAGTTACAGTCCTGGTGTGACAGTAATGACATGTTTACCTGTACCACTGTTAAGTAGTTATAGTCCTGGTGTGACAGTAATGACATGTTTACCTGTATCACCGTTAAGTAGTTATAGTCCTGGTGTGACAGTAATGGGCATGTTTACCTGTACCACTGTTAAGTAGTTACAGTCCTGGTGTGACAGTAATGACATGTTTACCTGTACCACTGTTAAGTAGTTATAGTCCTGGTGTGACAGTAATGACATGTTTATCTAAAGCACTGTTGTTATATGACTATTCTACATCCACTCTGATCTTACAGTTATTAATACCAATATGAAACTTTCTGGTGATATTCTTCTTACACTTTAGGTGTTATTCTTGTAGTTTTGTACTTTGTGTTAGCTTATGAATGAAGATTCTTGTACCTTAATTTAAAGGGTGAAAACCGTGAAGTTGATAGAAATGTGTGTTTCAGACTTTCAGAAGTACAACAGTTTTATTTATGACAAGGAACATTGTGTAGTTTTTCATCACATAGTGAGAAATATTAACATCTTGTATACATTAACAATGCCAGCAATTTACAGTAAGTTGTAACCTTTATTTTGTGTTTGCCACTGCTGTTTCTCATGGAGATTACGTTCCCACGTGTTTTTCATGATGTTTATGTTTTGTGTGTAAAAGATAATATAAATTACTTTGTTTCAGATAAAAGACTGACAAGAGGGATATCTAAGGCAACTGAAAATTTAAAACTAGTAGCCAAAGCAAGAAGTGAATTTATCCGAAGCCCGCTCAGCAGTGCTAGCCATGCTCACATTGCCCTCCTAGACACTCCTGTATACACTTTCACATTACCTGATCTTTCCATACATCCCACTGATTTCAGGGAATTCCTCAAACGAGATCTGATTGAAACGTCAACACTTGTGTCTCTTGAACATGCTGGTAAGTTGTCTTCACCTACCATCATGTTCAAATAAAACATACAGATCATCATTTGTCTTCAATGATGATCTGTATGTTTTATTTGAAACTAATGGTAGGTTGTCTTTGATGATGATATGTATGTTTTATTTGAACCTGATGGTAGGTTGTCTTCAATGATGATCTGTACGTTTTATTTGAACCTGATGGTAGGTTGTCTTCGATGATGATCTGTATGTTTCACTTGAACTTGATGGTAGGTTGTCTTCGATGATGATCTGTATGTTTCACTTGAACTTGATGGTAGGTTGTCTTCGATGATGATCTGTATGTTTCACTTGAACTTGATGGTAGGTTGTCTTCAATGATGATCTGTATGTTTTACATTATTTGATATTTTCCCCTGAGTCATGTTGAGTCCCAAAAGTTTGTGTGTCCAAAAATATCAATTTATCTTTGAAATGTGTAACTTAGAACAACAAATATATTAGACACTAGAATAGAATGTCCTAAACTGCTATAATTTATCCAGCTTTTAAAGTAAGTTATAAATTGATTTTAAAACTTCAATACAGTCCATCAATTCTCTGCGACTAATGACAGGCAGTGAGAAAATGTCTTGCAGAATATTAAAGTTTATGTAGAGGAATATGGTTTTGAACATGTATTAGCTACGTAAAGTTGATTAGTAAACTATCAAAAGTCAGAGAGAAAGAGGTATCATCTCTGGTGGGTTTAACAGATAAAGGAAGTAGGAGGTTCAAGGTTTAGATTTTTGTTTGAACATAGGTATAGTTTGGTTGAAATAAGCAGCAGCCTATTTTAGAAGTTAGAAAATTCTGAAGTGGAGAAGTCTGAGCTCAGGTGCATCACATGAGAGAAAAAATAATTAGAAATTTTATTTAAATATTTTGTTTTGAGATGTAGAAGTTAAAGCATATGTAATACACAAATTTTAATTATGAGCTGTGTTACATGCTAGCTAAAATGTTGGTTGAACTGTTCGAGCCCATAGATAAAAGCAGTACTTTCAAATAACAATGAAAGAGTCGTGTGTAAAATCCAGTGATTAGTATAAATCACCCTATCAGCAATTTCTTGCTTCTCAATAGAGTGAACAATTTAAAAACCTGATAACTTTTTATCTAAAGTTTTAATTCTGTAGCTGATGTAACCCTTTTGATATGATTTGTTTTTTAATGTAAGTACTATAATAATTATTTTATTTTGAGGTCGACTCAACTGGTGGTCAGATCTTGGAGCTTGTCAACGACTGTGGCCTTTAGCAACGACCGGTGATGGTAATTGTTTATTACATGCTGCTTCGTTAGGTGAGTGTATAAAGATAAATGTGCAAACACCTTATTGTTTATAACACTTGTAAATATAGTATCATCTAGCAGAGAATCAGTATCTGAGTAAATATTTAGTTTTTCATCTGTATGATGTAAAAACTAATTATCTACAAAAACTGTTTGGATATAAGAAACCTGCATAAAGCCATTTCAAGTCTGAAATCTTGGAACTAAAGCACTGTAGGTTATTTCTTCATTTCTGTGAAATATTTAATTTACTTCAGAAAGGTTACTTACGACGAAGAGCTATTACCTTGCACCACTGTGGTCACCATGGGTATGGTAAATCCATAAATGTGCATATCCCTCAGAGTTACTCCTGAGCCCTCGTGAAAAAATGAGCCTTTGTTCAGATGCATATTAATTCGTATAAGGATGGGAGCTTCGTTTAAAAAGTAAAGAAAATTTAAACTCTAACCATCTCATGAACAATTTAAACATTACTTGAACACAATATTTTGTCAAAGTATTGTTGTATTCACCATTTTTTGAGAAGCTGACCCTGCATGAAATCAACCATTTATTCAATTAATGGCAAAAATAAATACAAATTCTCATTGGTTGATTTGTCAAGTACTTATGAGATTTTGTTATAAAGATGTGAAATGATAGGAGCCTTTATGATCTATAAAAAACATATCGTACAAAATATAACAAAATCTATGTTCTTATGAGCTGTTAACTTTTTACCTTCACTTTCATGTATTAATACATGCATGTCATCAGGTTTTTTACAGAGAAGACAGTATCTTTTGCCTTACTTTATTAATTGTGTCAGATAATATGTTTCTCTTCTTGATAGTGCTCTCTCTGAAACTCTAAAGTTGTTTCTGGTTTAATGATTTTATACTTTTAAACCAATAGGTTTTATTTATTTTTTTGTTGTCAGAGGGCACTTTAGTGTGACTACACAATGAACTAATAGGTTTGATTTATTTTGTTGTTGTTGTTAGGGGGCACTTTAGTGTGACAACACAATGAACTAATAGGTTTGATTTATTTTTTTGTTGTTAGATGGCACTTTAGTGTGAACTACTCAATGAACTAATAGGTTTTATTTATTTATTTTTTGTTTGAGGGCACTTTAGTGTGACTACACAATGAACTAATAGGTTTGATTTATTTATTTTTTGTTAGAGGGCACTTTAGTGTGACTACACAATGGGAAAGATGTTTGATTAGTATAAATGGCAGGAAAGGGGATATCACAATGTAATGTTATGATGTAACAGAAAGTAGAATGTAATGTTATGATGTAAGAGAAAGTAGTATGTAATGTTAGAATGTAACTGAAAGTAGTGTGTAATGTTATGATGTAACTGAAAGTAGTATGTAATGTTAGAATGTAACAGAAAGTAGTATGTAATGTTAGAATGTAACTGAAAGTAGTATGTAATGTTATGATGTAACTGAAAGTAGTATGTAATGTTAGAATGTAACAGAAAGTAGTATGTAATGTTAGAATGTAACAGAAAGTAGTGTGTAATGTTAGAATGTAACAGAAAGTAGTATGTAATGTTATTTCTGTTACATTCGTAGTGTGTAATGTTAGAATGTAACAGAAAGTAGTGTGTAATGTTAGGATGTAACTGAAAGTAGTGTGTAATGTTATGATGTAACAGAAAGTAGTATGTAATGTTATGATGTAACAGAAAGTAGTATGTAATGTTATGATGTAACAGAAAGTAGTATGTAATGTTATGATGTAACAGAAAGTAGTATGTAATGTTATGATGTAACTGAAAGTAGTATGTAATGTTAGAATGTAACTGAAAGTAGTATGTAATGTTAGAATGTAACAGAAAGTAGTATGTAATGTTAGAATGTAACTGAAAGTAGTATGTAATGTTAGAATGTAACA